AATAACATGGGTTATGATTTTTTTTTTCCAGTATGAAGAAGGGAAAGGAAGGAAGAAAAATTTTACTATGTGGCTTCCTTATTTCCTTGTGGTAGGAATTTCCATAAAACATACATAACAAAATACAGATACTAATAATGACAGATTCTGAATTTATTTTTAAATCCTGAATCATTTTGCACTATTCTAAACTTTGCTCTTCTCCACCCATTCAAATGTTTATTAAATGCCCACTCTGTTCATGACACTGTGAGGACATGCAAAGATGAATGAGAGTAGCTAGCATATAAATATGTATCATATCTTAAGGAGTGACGGAATAGCCAGTGGTCATGTTTCAAATTAAATGAATGCTTATAAATAAACAGTTTTACATCCTGTGTTGTGAAATGAGATTGAAAACATATGCAGATTATACAACTGATTTCACTAAAATATTGTATCCATCCAACAATTAAAATAGGAGGATTGACTCTTTACAGCTTGTTAACCAGACATGTTCATTAATATTCCAATATGGCTTCTTAGCATAAGGATCACAAACCCCAACAGTTTTATGCAATGTGCTCATACAGTTGCATCATTTTATGCTGACAAGACAGTGGATCGAAACTCAGAGACATAATATAGTGCATACATGACTAGCAGATGCTGGGGTTTTCGATAACTAGGACTCCTTCTTAAAATGAGGGTCAGTTGTCACAAGCAAACATGCATTCAAGTGTGTGCTCTATGAACTTCAAACTGGAACACAGAGACCAAGGAATGGGTTCATTATGGCAGTAGCTACTCAGGTAGGGTTTTTTTTAAGTTGATTTTTCAGAACAATGATTATCTGAAGTTTAAATAAGTGTTTTAAATGTCCAATTACTATTTTATGGTTACTGCAATGTAAAGAATATAGTATGCAGTTATTAACTTATTTTTAAATGTTGCCTTGTGAAACAAGTGATTTCAAGGCAGTAGCAGAAACATTTTAATAGCTTTAACTCTGTGGCATAAATGTCTAGGAGACATAGGATCATCTGTTACAATAATGATTATGCCAAATGTTCATGACAACCTACCATGTTTTGATGAAATTTATAAATCCAACAACGCTCTAAAATGCAAAGACAATTATTTTACAAAGATAGTTATTTCTTTAAACTAAAGGCTCAGAAAGTGAAGCCATGGCAAATATTTAGAACTTTCCTAATAACCACAGATTATTAATTCCATACTGATTTTCAAATTCAGTTGTAACTGGTATGGAAAGGTCTCTGGTTCCAACAGCCTTATTCCAATGTTTAATACCTCTTCATGTCAAGGTTTTAAACATAATAGCTTTAACTGCAGAGCTTTTTATTTAAGGGGGATAGTTTATTTAGTATTGCTTCCAAGTGATGTTAATAAGACAGGTTAGTTAGTGTAACAATTAGGCAGTTAGAAATACCCAGGTAGGAGCCAGCCGAGTGGCGCGTTGGTTAAAAGTTGCCTTGGGATGCCAGCTCTGAGCAGCAGGGACCTGGTTCAGATCCCACATGTGGGCCAGTGATGCTGCGCCCTCTACAGCTAAGATAGTGAACAATGGGTCGACCTGGAGCTGGGCTGCTGTGAGTCACCAGCGGCGACGGCATAGGCTGCAGTGGGGCTGGCGGGCAGCTGCCATGAGCTTTCGTGAGCTGCCGTGAGCGGCCCTCCAATAGCCAGTGAGTGACTGCCTCACCCGGAAAGAGCGTAATGATAATACCAACAAGGGCCAGTGAAGCGACAACCTCCACAACTAGACTGAAGAACAAAAGGACAGCAACTTGTCTGTTCCCCTTCCCCGATTCCCCAACACTGTTCCCTTCCCCCAATTCCCCAATAAAATCTTTAAAAAAAGAAATTCCCAGGTAGGATGAGCAAAAGATAAACATATCTCCTAGGCCTCTGCCCTCAGCCAGGACCCCAAAAGCCACAGCCTTGAGACAATTTACTCCTAACCAGACCAGGGACATCAATTACACCCTGAGACAACTAAAACTATCCTAAAAAGCCTCCTCCAGGCTGAAACAGCCAACGAAATAAATCTAACCTGTTCAAGCAGGCGCCAGTTTTCTCCCCAGACAGGCTAGGAAAAGCATATAAACAGAAGCCTCCCCTCTAGTCAGTGTCAGTGGGCACTCCAGTTTCTGATGCTCCCTCACTTTTAGAGAGCTGCATCTCCTTACTCTAATAAACTGGCCTTTTCTGCAAACTTTGCCTCTCTGGTTTGTGTCTCCATTCTTTGGTGCTGCAAGACCACGAATCCCAGCCACACACAAAACAGCCTGCATCATTAATAATTGCCTAGTCATTAATGAGGAATTTGTATTATATTATCAGGCTGCACTCTTTTGTGCAATGTGAACATGGGGATGGAAGCCATTAGAAGAGAATTATCAGAGTAGGCAAGAGAATTGACTAAACAAAACTAAAAATGGTGACAGACATAGCCAAAAACCCAAGATCTTATTTCACTAGTTAATAATCACTACTACATACTGAGCAATATGGTGTTCCTGCCACTTTCCTATTGAATCTTTTGTAACTGAGGGGAGCAATGGTTAAGAGTGTAGGCTTGGAGTGTGAAAGAACGAAGATCAAACCCTGATCGACTCCTTAGTAGTCAGTCGTGTGATCTTGGACAACTTACGTAAACTCACTCAGGACTTCACATTCCTCATCTGTAGAATCAGGTTAATCCTTTATCACTGGATTATTCTTTTTCATTAACCAAATAAAATGTAAAAGTAACCAAATAAAATGTAAAAGTTCTTCAAAAGCACTTTATGCCTTGCCACTAGAGATAATCACAACAAACTTAAAAGACATGTTCACGTTATTTTAGTGGTTCGTGTTATTAATTGAATAAAGTGATACCGATCGAATAATGTTAAGTTGGAATCTCACAGCAAAAACTTTATCTTATTCATCTTTGTATCCCCAGGAACTAGCATAAAACCTAACACAAAATACACTATTGTTTAATGATGTAAGTTATGATAGCCATAAATATATTCATGTGATATCCATTGCCAAACTCTATTGCCTTTACTTCCCTAATAGCGATTCTGTTCCCTTCTCATCTCTACCACCAGCACTCTTGTCCAAAGATTCCTGCAGTCCTCTCCTAACTGACTGAACAGCATCTACTCTGGCTTTCCTCCAGTCTTTTATTTTCAAGGTGGAGTGATCTCTTCAAGTGTAAATGGATCCTACCACACTTCAAAGACTTCCACTGCTCCTAAGAAAAACACAAAGTCCCTAACCAGGTCTGCAAAGATCTCTATGGTCTGGCTCAAACCCACCAATCCCAATCCTTTTATTTCAAACTACCTTCCTTCCATCTCACTCTCCCTTTTCCAGGCGCACGGGTTTTCTTCCAATCCCTCATATACCAGGGGTGCCAAAAAAAATGTATATACAAGTGGACACTTCGGTCAGCGTTACTCAAGCAGTAGTGCACCATAATCAGAAGTGTCGGAGGACATTCTTTGAGCACCTCCTGTAATTGCAGAAGTCAAGCGTAACTTGTATTCATCTTTTGTGATCGGTATATATTGAGTATTACAATTGTAATATAGTTTTCCTTTCTTAAATGTGTATACATTTTTTTGGCACCCTCTGCATTTGAAGCTCTCTTCTTTTACTATCATTCTGCCAGACAACCTTCACCCAGGTGCTGCGTATCCCCTCCTCACCCATCACACCTCAGCTTGTTATGTTCCCGGCAGAGCGTACCCTGACCTTCCTATAAATCCTTCTACAACCATGTTTCTCTCCTTCAGAGAATTTATCAATTTATATTTCTTTCAGTTCTTATTAATTGAATATCTGTCTATCTTCCCAACTAAAGTCTCCACAAAGGGAAGTATTTGGTTTTGTTCCCCTGGTGTCTTCATATTCAAAATTTTGTTGAATGAGTGATTTTTATAAACATTAACATTCTTAAAAGACCACTCAAGATCCATCTCTGTGATACCCTGAAAAGATTTTGAGGGACACTGTATAGTAAGAGAATAAGTGCAGAATACTTACTGACATATAAAGACAAAATAAATAAAATGCAAGGGCAACTGGAAAGAGATGCAAAGCTTACTAATTTTCCAAGTTTGAAAAACGCATTTTCTCAGACTTAGAACCTCATTTCTTTCAAGTAGTAAACAAATGCTAATTTCATAGCAGGCAACTTCTTGCAGGACCAAAGACTATGAGGAAGATTTGCAGGAAACACTGAAGTACAGCATAATATTGCTTACATCCATGAAATACAACCATTTATGCATCTATAGGGCTTGTAACGCATGATGGCTTAATCGGAATATTTTTGGTACAAATTCTAAACTCTTAGCAAATGAATGTCACACCATCTGCAATGAATACCTGAGTGGCAAGAAGCTGTGCTACAATTTACTTTAAAATGAAATAAATTCACCTAAAGGAACCAGAACTGGGTTTCACTGCCCCTTCATTAGGCGGCAATATTAAGTTGAATGGGAAGGTCTGTGCTAAATTTTCTACGTACAAGTTTAGAATTGTAAATTAGTTGCGATACACTTATTAATTGCAGCAAGTTTGGGAAGCGAGATGCTAGAATTTTATGCTAAAAGCTTACTGCTTAAAGGTGTGAAGAAACGTGAGAGGTTGCAGAGATGTGATTAATATTAACAGCAGAAAATGCAGCTATAGACATACGAAAACCATCTTTTGCTGGGTTGTAAAGACGTTAAGCAAGGTGACATGAAATAAAACACCCTCAATCAATTCCTGGGCATGCCTGGGCATGTCTGGCAGCCTTAGCCCGCAGTAGTTCTCTACTACGCAGGCGCACTAACACAGATTTTTTCTCTCTCCTGTCAAGATAAACTTTGGGAAAAGCAGGGCTCCAGGGAGACAGGACTAGGGCAAAGAGATAACACTTTGGACCTTGGAAACCTGACGGAGTCTTTACATTTTCTCTTGCTGTCCCATAGCAAGTTATAGGAGCGGCTCACCTGGGAAGAGACGGCAGCCACCGAGGCTGCGTGAGGCAACCAGGGGTCCCCCAGTCTCTGCAGAGCGCTTCCCCGCACTTCCGTCACCGCCTGGCCCGGGCACACCCGCGCCCGAATTTTCTCCCCATTTAGAGTGCAACCTGGCCCTTCCACCATCTTCCAGCACTGGGGCCCACTAGTTTCAGGGCTCTGAGGAGGAAATGGCTGTGCAATTTAACGTCTGCGCGGGTACTTGACTCCTCAGAAAGGAAGCTCAAATCTCCCGCGCCTCCAGCCCCGCCCAGGCCCCGCCCCCGTCAGCCCCGTCGCCGGTGCGGGCCAACCCCCGCCGCGCAAGCGCAGCGCCTCGCCCCTCAGGCTCTGATTTGGGGGTGACAGTGGTCGGATGTGCAGGAGGCGGGTGAGTGGGGCCTACCCCACCTGGCTAAACTGTAAGATCAGAGATAGTTGGGGCCTCAGAAACTCCAACTTTATTTTCTTTGCTCTGAGTTTTTGCCCTTGTCCTTGAGCTACTCAGTACACGCACATTTTGTGACCTTGTCCAGTTACTCCGTCTTAAAATCCAAAATTGTTGCAGACGGCGTGACAGGTCTCTGGTTTTTGTATGCCCTGTTTATATGCTCTGTTTGGGTGGGGAGAGAGGGACTCAGGAGGGTTTTTAGAACAAGCAGCTTTTATTTTTTCTCCTATAGGTTTAGCATGCCTTAGAAAATGTGGCTTTATATGCAAAATGTATGTTAGTGTCCATATAAAAAACCTCCTTCATTTTTAGATAGCTAAGTAAGCCCTACCCAAATTCATGCAACCCATTCTGTTATGGGATGCCTCCAGATGAAAGCTGTTTGAAATAGCTTTGTAAAAGGCAGGGCTCTATATAAATATGAGGGAAATGTATAGCTTTTCAACTTTCACAAAGATGCATACATATAAATATATGAAGCTAGTGACTCCATACAACTTTGTAAATAATGAAAAATCTATTCCTTTTTGAAAATTAAAATATGGCACATTAAACAGAATGCCAATTTATAAGTGATTTGATAGGTATATCACAGTGATGTAGCTAAACCAGAAGACTGTATAGGCTAGGGACTTCAATTAGAATATACTAAAGACTTGAATTCAAAAATTTGAGAAGTACTAAATCTTTCTCTTTGAGTGAGAGATCAGTGGATAAAAGTTAGTGGAATCAGGTTCAGGATTCTTTGTATTTTACTCCCTTGTTTAATTGTTATTTACTCTTCTAGGTCAAGTTAGTTACTAAATAACCAAGAAAAAATCCTTCTATCAACCCAAATTCAGTCATAATCTCTGCCCTTTGATGGAAGAAAGCTCTACGCCTTATTCACGTCTACCTTTTTATTAATTACTTTTTCTACCTAATGAATTATCTTGTTATTTCAAAGTTTCTGCAAGTCAGAAAGTTGGCCTGACTGGGTGGTTCAGGCTCAGCGTTTCTCAAGCAGTTGATTTCAAGATATTGGCCAAGGCTGCACTTGCATAGCTGTTGGCAGGAGACCTCGGTTTCTCATCTGTGGGTCTCTCCATGGGTTGCTTGGCTGTTCTCATGACATGGCTGCTGACTTCCCCCACAATGTGTGATCCAAGAGAGAAGACAAGGAGAAAGCCGTGATGCCCTTTATTACCTGGTCTCTGAAGTGACACACCCTCACCTTCAGGACGTCCATTCATTAGAATTCAGTCATTCAGTACAACCCAAAAAGGGGTAAGGGTGGGAAATTAAGCTTTATCCCTTGAAGGGAGGAGTGTCATATAATTTGTGAACATAGTTTAAAACCATCACAATCTTCATTAGTCTGATTGATTTATTATGGACTTCTCATTTGTCTTTAGGTGGTATGTGCTGGTGCACATTTGCATTAAATACCTGGGGTGCCAAAAAAATGTACACAAGTGGACACCTTGTTCAACGTTGCTCAAGCAGTAATTTCCCATAATCAGAAGTGTCTGGACGCTGATGGTAACCACTTTGAGCAGCTCTTGTACTTGCAGAAGCCAAACATGACTTGTATTCATCTTTTGTGATTGGTGTATATTGAGTACAATTGTAATAGTTTTTTCCTTTCTTAAAATGTGTATGCATTTTGTTGGCATCCTCCGTATAATCTTTAAGTAGAATAAAGTTTACCATTCCCCAGAGAGCTGAGTAAAAGTTGAAAAGTGACACTGAATGCATTAAGAGACTTCACTGATCTGCCTGTCAGACCAAGCCAGATTTTGTTTACATGGGACTAGCCTCTGAATCTTTTGATACTTTTCTTTGTTATCCTTCGTTACATCCAATTAAGAGCAAAATCACATGCATTGTGTCTCTGCAGTATCAATAAAAAGAGTTGCCTCACTATTGCAACAAACCTACCTTGAGGGGGGAATCTTGGTACTTAAACTAGGCTTATACCAAAAAACAAAAAGTGTAACTTTTTTTTAACCTCTTCATTCAAGTTCCCTGAAACAATCCCAACCTTTATGTCCTAACTGAATCCCCTAGGATACCTTCCAGATACAATCAGAATCTTATCTTCTGAAGTTGGTTCTTTCATAGAATTTACCAAACCTATCTTGTGTTAGATTTTAATTGATACATGCAGGTCACCTACTAGACTAGACTCTCGTTTCTTGAAGATTGAGTGTCCTGCTTATCTTTATACTTCCCAGAGCAGGCAGAAGAATCTTTGTACATAATAGATATTGGACAAATATTTGTTGAATTATAATTAACTTAAAATTGAAAAAATTAGGCCTTCCTGTCCCTTCTCTCATATCTTTAATGTAATTCTTATGAATTGAGATCTTATGTTTTTAGAAGTCCCTTCTAAAATAAAAATAAATGTTAACAAAAATAGGTAATACATTAAGTTACCCTGTGGCACACTTCTTTTATTAGATCAACAAGCCAGTAATTTTGATATATTTCTGAGGACTTTAGACCAACTATATGTGCAGTCATTTATGTACATTAATTTATATGTATTTATCTTCACAATAGCCCTGTAGAGTCAGAATAGATACCATCATTATTTTATAGATGAAGAAACTGAGTTTCAGACTAGTTATTTTCCATGATTACATATAGGGACCAACAAAGACACACAGAATTTGCAATGAAATTTCCTGACTCCTAGACCAGCATTCTTTTCACTGACAACATAGGTGACTGTATATGAAATAAAAAAATGTCTAAAACATTGTAAAAGATGGATTTCTTCAGGCCCTCAACTAGCCAATATGTGTAGCATATAGGTACATAACACTAGTGGGAAACGTGTTGAAAAGGGTAAGAAATTGCCAAGAGGAGATGGGTGGGAGCTGAACATAAACATTAATTTTACTACCAAAGATTTCCATTAATAAAAACATACTCAATGTTTACTCTGTGTGAGGCACACAACCAGGCTCTGGGGTATAAAGGGACATAGAGGAGCCTTTGAACATATAAAATCACAATGTAGGGTGGCCAGTTATCGCAGGTGGTTAGAGCGCAGTGCTCCTAAGACCAAGATTGCCGGTTCAATTCCCACATGGGCCACTGAGATGCGCCCTCCACACCTAGATTGAAACAACTACTTGACTTAGATCTGATGGGTCCTGGAGAAACACACTGTTCCACAATTTAAAAAAAAATCACAATGTAGTTAGAGATATTGACATTAAATAATGTAATGAAAGGAAAAGAGATCTCATGCTATGCACAGAAAAAGCTATAGATACCATGGGAATTTGTTGAAGGAACACATCACTCAGAAGCAATATAGTCTTGGACGTGCTCGGAGAAGACATGGGATCTGAGCAGATCCTTTAAGGGAAGGCCCTAGACGAGTAGAAACGTCAATTAAGGAATTCTAAGCAAGAGGAGTACAGGAAAATATGTAATGTATTTGAGGCACGGTGATTAAAACAGAAGTGTCAGGCAGGACAGTAGTGGTGGATAACATTGAAAAGATTCCTAGGGGAATTCCTAAGGAAGAGTCGATTTCATTTTCCTGGGATAATAGGCAGCCAATGAAACTTTTGAGCAGGTGTAGGGACCCCGAGTCCCACAATTCATGATACTTATTTACTAAAACTGAAATGCAGAACTTCATTCAAACTATGGAGAGCAATCCCCCTCTGCAGTTTTGATCCCTGATTTATCCTTCTTCAGTACGAAATAGATGCATCACAGTTGCTCATAGTAGGTAGGTAGAGTTTCTTACACAATGATGAGTTCGTAAGTGTCTCTGTTTTTTTTTACTGATCATCCAGATACTTATTTAGTGTTTCTTCATGCCAGGCAGTGTTCAAAGTTTTGCAAATGCAAACCCTATAATCCTCTCACATTAGTACTATTCTCATCTTCAGTTTACAAATGAAGGAACTGGGGCACAGAGAGGTTAGGCAACTTGCTCAAGGTCACAGAATTGGGATTTAATCAGGCATGCTATGGTTTTAGCCAAATATTTTCAGCAACATTAATTATATTACACTGGCCCTCAACCAAATATTTTTAGCAGCAATTTAAGAAATGGTAATTTAGAGGAAAAGCAGCCTTTCAATCTGCCTGATGTGGGAATTAAAGACAACCTAAAAACCTTCTTTCAGCATATTAAGTTTTGACATATTTTGGATAATGAAACTTTGTTTTTATCCTTCTTATAAGGTCTGTGGGCAGATTTTTAGCTGGAATGATAAAAATGTAGCATGGGGGAAATTTCTTTAATTTCTGTGTTTTACATAAATTACCCGAATATATTTAACAAGTAGAGAGAGCACATCCATCCTCTCTCCACATCCTCTTAATTCGAGCTCTGAGCAGAGGAAACAGTCATTAGTGAGCATTCCATGCAGGTGTTTTCGGTGGTGTTTGCTAAAGAGCCTCCAGCTTCTACCCATTAAGAGCAACTTTTAACATTAGACTACCAGAAGAATAATCAAATGCACAGCAACAGAAACCATTTTGATACTTTTATTGTTTGAAGCATAGACCAAATGTTGGGGCTTTGTAAAGCAGCGTAATTTGTTCCATGTGAAGGCTGGAAGTGCCAGGTGACAGTTTTCTGCCTGCAATGTCAAAATCTTAAATTGCAGCATAAACCATAGCCTCGTAGGTGATACACAATTGCTCTGACATTTCTAGCCTTTTCAGAGTGCTGTAAAAATCTAGGATTGTGATGCTTTAATTCTAGCTGT